TGTGATGTGTGCATACAAAACTCTCTTCAACAAACTGAGAGAAGTGCTAAAAAATGCGCTTATGTTCAATTTAAGCAACATCATAAAACCCTTAACCCAAGTTAACAAGTGTGGGGGGAAAAGTGAATTTGAACTGAAAAGATGATTGAAACGCAAAATATGGAGGACAGGCAGTCTTTATTGGAAATGGGGTGGGGAGAATACAAAAACCAAAATAAAATATAATAACAATAATTATAATAATAATAAAAACAGTACGAGACAGAAGATGGAGGGGAGGAATGACAGCGAGATGTGGACAGGTGTGGTCGGGGAACAGAGCGGGTGGGACAGTGTGGGTGGTGGGTGTGTTTGCACACGAGGCTAAAGTTAGGAATTTAAAGAGCTCTTACACTCCGCCTTTATGGCACCACAGTTAATGGGCACAAAGGGGCGGCGCGCGGCCCGGCGCAGCCTGATGAGATCACGGCACATGTGACGCGCCAGCTTGGTGAGGCGCGTGGCCTGCAGGAGGAACGCCTGCTTAGTCTTCATGGAGGATTTGGGGCTGCCGCTGTTCCTTATCGGAACCATGTGGGAAGACTGACGGGCGCCATGGCCACGAGAACGCATCTCCTGTGGAGAGACAGACAATGAAGCAAGTTAGGGATGGATACAGGAAAAAAATGGAAATACAACCAAAAAAAAGATGTACAGCGGGAAAACAGCAAAAAGTGAGAGGGAATATCATGGTTTTCTTAAAGATTTGAGATGACTCCTGATGCCTCCCTGACCTCTTTTCATTTGCAACCAGGATAAATGGTATGCGCCAATCACAATGTGTTTTTGCTCTGAAATTTTGCCTCCCAAAGCCAAAATGTAATTATTTACAAGTGATATTGGTACTATGGTAGCACTTTTTCAATGTAGTTCTATATATTAGCTAAACCAATAGCTCAATGCACATCTACACCGTCAGAACAGTACTTACATTGGGTGCAGGGCTTGGAGGCGTTTTTTCCTCTTCCCCTTCAGCTCTGCTTGGCATCTTTAGGCCACCATACTTTTTCCAGTACATCCAACAGGACACACAAAGGCGACACTGCATGTTAGGAGGACCCCACGAGTACCACTGAGCAGACTGTGCGGCTGTAAACAGAGAAGAAAAATGAACAAGCCACTAATATGAAATGCACTAAAAGGTGTAATTATGCCTGTGACGTGTCATTCTTGTTCAGGAAAATCTCATTCCCATTCAATTAATTCTGTATACCTAAGTTTGTCTAAAAGAACAGGCAGCCTTCATGAAAACATAATTGCTAACTAAAGAAAAATATAAAGCAATGTACTACAACACAATTAGGGCCCAATGATTTCGGCGGAAACGAGGACGGATCATAAAAATGGTCTCCAGTCATAAAAATGGAATTTACTGTATAACGTGGAACATTACGGATTTTCCACATTTTGGATGGATTCGTCAAAAGTAGTTCAGTATACTTAAATCAAAATGCAATATGGACTAATGTCTGTGAAATATTAAGCAGCAAAAATACCATTTAAATATGAATCCTGCATGTTCTGTGTGTCTGTGTGAATGAATGGCACAGACGCGCACGAGACCCTTACGGTGTATTCAGCCTCTGCCGCCTCAATATAGGAGTACGTGAACATCTCTAGAACTGCTCTGAGAGTCAATTCATGAGCATTTTTTCCGTTTCTTTTGAGTAAAACTATCGTCTTATCATATACAAAAAGAAACCAAAAGGTCTTCACAGCAACCTGTCAAAATAAAAGTTTGGTTTAACTTGAAGAAACCGTGATAGAACTATTACTTAATGTAATGACAGTACTACTACTACTAATAAAATTATTAAAACATGTTTTATTTACCAGAAAAATAAATTACCATAATTTAATTAGCAGAAAAATAAAACACATTTCATAGGGTCTTAAAAATTTCATTTTTGTTCAAACCTTTATTAAATTAGTGTTTAAGTACTTAGTAAGTTTCATGATTTATTTAATTAGATATGCTTTTTGATGAATACAATTTAATTTAACCATTAAAACGGAAAACCATCAACTTGAACAAAAAAAAACAAAAAACACTGAATTCAGAAAAATTAAAATGGAAAAAACGGAATTTGGAAACAAATTAAATGGATTTCATAGGGCCCTACACAATGAAAGGATTAGGTTCAATTTAAATTCACTTTATGCTCCCCCACTGTGAGTTCATTACTAAAAGGCGATATTGATCCAGACTAATCATTGCTGATCACATAGATTGTGATGCGGCACCTTTGACTGACCTGATTGGAAGATAAAAGGGTGAAAATGCAGTATCCAGCCCCATTGATTACAGGAGATGTGACATGCCCTCCGGGAGAAGCAGCGAATTGATTGGATGGCTGTGTTGACTGTAATTAGGCGAAGAGGGTCTTTACTCACCAAAACAACTCTCACATGCGCGGCCGCCTCCGGCTGTGTGGAAACTGCCTGTTCCTGCTGCACCATTCACAGTAGCCATTTTGCCGTTACTGACGGAGATCTGGTTGGGATTGGGTTTGTTGCTGTGAGGCAAAAAGCAAATGAGATTTCACACTATAATCTTTTACAAGAGGTTTATAAACATGCCAAATCTAAATCCGATGACAAGCAGTCACTGGAGAAGCAGTTGAGACTGATCCTAATATAAAGGACGATTGAAATGATGGTGTAGAGCTGGTATTTTACAGATGCTAAAACTCACTATGTAGGGATGTAGACTTGCTTCAGTTTGCTCTCTGCTTCAGCTGCCTTCAGTCGTTTCTGTACAAAATGATCAATATTAAGCTTAAAGCGAGATCAAAGACAGTCAGAGCAAACAGAGAAAGAGATTTCCAGATAATTAAAGAAAATCTATCAAAAGTACAGCTTTAAACTAAAAATGCTGCTCACCTGCTGAACATATCTGTCTGTGGTTTTCCACATGTAATAATACTCAATGATGCTGGTCAGCGACTTCCAAGGAAGCTGAAATAAAACACAGGTTATTTAAGATGTCAAAAACCATAAGGAGGCGTCGTACTGAAGATACAGCTCTTGTCTTAATTCTTTAAGTGGTCGGAATTTATGGAATATTTATTTTGAGCGTGATACGTCTAGATTCGCATGCAGACGCTCATGATTATTCATGAGCACCTGCTGAGCGCAAGGGAACGTGCATGAAACGGGTGCAAAGAATTTAAGAAATCTTAATATAAAGCTGGCCGAGCCCCCACTTTTGGCCCGCATCTATGCGAGGGTGAGCAGAGTATAAAAATGAACACAGAGGTGTTCTAGGCTGACAGCTGGTGTTATGAAGAACATTTAAATTAACATCCTGAGGTATCCTGAGGCTATGTATTTTTAGTGGCTGGTTTCTCTGCCTTTCTTTTGGTTTTTGAACCCGACGAGGAAACTAAAGATGGGAAATCATTAGACTACAGTTCTTCTCCAGTATGAATCCATCTTCTTAACTTTTATGCTTAAGTTGTGTTTAAAGTTGTGTTTACCCAAATAAAATAAAGTTTAATAAAACAATGAGTTTAATCGGAAAGAGAGAAATGTAGCCCTTTTTCATGATCTGCAATTCCTGATCTTTATCTGTAGTCATTTTCCTCATTCTGTAAATGGGTATCTGGCAACATGCACCTTTGGACATTTGACAAGGTGTTAAAAATGTAACCTATCATTTTCACAATTTTATGAATAATTATACAACACCTAGACCACTTGACATTTCAATAGTTAGTAAATCTTTAAAACTACCTGTACAGAATGAATGCAGAATCAGCCAGACAAGCTGAATTAGATATTCGAACCTTGCAATGGTCGATGATGTTTTAAACGTTTTGAATCCGCCTCTTCTATCTATTAATCACAGCACAAATCAATCACTATCGATGACTGCTTAAAGACAGAAAGGGAAACAAAGAGTAAGAGAAAACCAGTGCACCATTTAAACCACCCCACCAAGTCGATCTCTATGAGACTATTTGGTGTTCTTGAACAAGTGATTCTTATTGTGTGCTATAAAGTGGCTCAGTAGAAGTGCAGTTGTTGTTCATTCCATTTTGAGAAGTAAAGCCCCAGAGTAAAGAAATCCCATTTCTCAGAGCAATAGAAAACAGCTTTTCCTTGCATTCACACCCTAACACCAAAGCTCTCACTCCAGCCCCATACAAATGAGTACCCTTGTATCTGAATGAACGGATCAAATGTTTAAGTTTGGTCAAGAAGCAGCACGCTCCAAATCAAACCCTCTCAGCTGGTCCAATCTTCCCATCGCTCAGCCTCACATCACCTCATCTCTGCTGCTACTCTTCCATCCCTTCATTTGAAGTGTCGTTCTTTGCTTTGCTCCTCTAACTGTATCATTTCTGTTTTTTCAACAGCACCACATATAACAATTCAGTTTAAACTGTTCTTCTTTCCCCCATAGCGCCTTTCAAAAACATTTTTCTGCTAGGGGTGAGAATCTTTAGGCATTTCATGATTGAATTCCAAAATTATTCTTGATGCACTTCAGTCTTTTATCAAATCTTTAGCAAGCAAGCAAGCAGCTCATGTCAAAATTGTGTGTAAATATGGCACATGAAAGTGCTAAAATATGCTTTGACACATTACACCAGGGGTGTCCAAAATTAAATAGTCTATATCAGTGTTTCCCAACCGGGGTGACGCGGTTATAATATTAAAAATATATTTTTTTTATATTTTTAAATTGCTAAAATGTTCAAAAAAAGCATCTATTATATAATATCCATTTCTGATGTCGCCAATAATTAGAGATGCACCGAAATTTCGGCTGCCGAAAATTAGTTCACCGCTCAGGTTTCACTTTCACGTGGTGTGACCCTATGGGTGTGACGCTCTGTGTATTATCCGTTATCCCGCTCTATGCCTGTGCGCTCCGCTCAGCGCTCCAATTTTATACCGTTCATGCTCATCGGAACAGCAAAGTCCACTTAAAAATTGAGCCGATAGGAAACATCGATGTAGTACAGTATTGTTTCTGTCTGCAATAGCCCTACTGTGTTGTAATATGGTGTGGTATATGGGCAACTCTGGTAACGCTGCCCTCTCATTCATTGATCTGCTAACCGCTATGTTATGCTCACATGTTCTGATAATAATAGCTTTCTAGGACTAAACATTATTTGGATAATTGGTAAAAAAAAAAAAAAAAAAAAAAGAGTGAACTATTTTAACCCTACTGTTAGACCTACCTGAAAAACTAAAAAGCAATTTAATTCGAAGGAATGTCGTTATTTTTTATTTGTGCTATCATTATTAATTTCTTTATTTGTTCTTATTTTATTACTGACTGCTTACTTGTCATTTTCTATTCAATCCAAAGTTTGAAATCAAGCTATCTCGTGCTACTGCACCAAAATTACCCCACTGTAAAATAAATAAACACTGAGTGAGCAAAAATTTGTGAGCAAAATCGGTAGAGCGCGACTCGTTTGAACCGCGCTGCACGGACCGTTTTTAGCTCTGTCTAAAGACACCGCAGAGCGAGCACAGAACAAATGCGTTTACTCGCTGACTGATCTCGATCACGAGACCACTAAACAGCACCATGAGAAGCGTTTGAGTTTGCAGCAGAGGTTTCCAAACAAACCACAGATGTCAAAGGCAGATGAAACAGCGCTGACATTCTCAACAACACTAACGTGGAAAACAGGAGAAACATTGTGCGACAACAATGCAGTAAGAATAATTTTCAATCCACAAATCACCAAAATTTGTATTTACTGTAGTAAAAGTAACTGTGGTATTGTGGCAGAAATGTTGCATATTTATAAAGAATCTTCTTATATTATTAATGTAGACATATAGGCCAATTTAATGTAATGTAAGGGAGTTATGAAATAGACCAAATTACAGACATTTTTTATATTTAGCAGTTTGTGCTTTCATATGTTAATAGACTAAATACCATAAAGCCATTCTATGTTATAATAAATATGCAATTGTTTAGTGCAAATTTATCTGTAACAGCTAGGTATCGATACAGATTTCCTGATTTGATCGGATTCCAGTTTATAAGCTTTCAAGTCAATTAAATTGGGTATATTTAAAATATAATGTCCCTTTTGCTATAAACAATCAATATTTGGATCACAATGTGTTTTGTGCAGAGACTTATTGGCTGGCAAAGCCATGAAACAATTTAAACTCTAAAGATATTCAGAAACCATACAAACTGTAGAGACAAGTCAGCTGGGGTTTTTTTATAAAAAAAAAAATTTAAAAAACACAAAATCAATATATAGTTCATGGTAATATTAATCAAATTTCAGTGCATTTACTTCTCCAGAATTCTGTCCAATGTATAATCTTCTCCCTGAAGCATAACAGTTAAAAATCACAGTTTTAAAAGTATTTAAAATGCATGTTTGATTTTTTAATAAGGCATAGCTAAAATCTTGAAAGCATCAAAAACATACCGAGCAATCACAAGAAACTGGTCAATCTGTTTGTTGGTCAGCGGACACTCTGGGTCCCATATCTTCATCTCCAGTTTGGACTGGTCTCTGTCATCAGGTTCTCCTACAGAGAAAATTTATTTCATCAGAGCTGGCTGTGTAAAACCAGAGGGTAAAATCTACCATCGACAATTCTTTCAAGACAACCTAGGCAACTTGTTCCCGTGGCAACGATGGGAATTAACACGTAAATCAAACCTGGCGTTAGGTAATGATGGAAGACAGCCTGCTTAGCAAGATCATGAAGAATTATGTATTGTAGGTATATGATCATCATCAGCCCGTCATTCGAATGAAGAGCAGAGCATTTAATCCTGCATTGTGTAAATGCTGAACTATCAGTCGCTTTTGGATGTAAAAGTATGCTGAATGAGAAGATCAGAATGCGTAGGTTCAGATCAAATCTCCTTCCTTACAGTATAGCTATAATTTAAAATGTTAGTACTTTGTATCCATCTTGTCAATGTAGATGGAAAAGTTTCATATCTTCTAAAAGCAGGACGTGTCTAAATCTAGAACTGAAAAATGCTTCCCTCACAGACTGTCACTGGCCTCTCATTACAGATAATGGGAGCTGTTGACTGGACATTTTCGTAAGTTTGTGAGAGAGGAGCAGGATCACAGACTTTCAGTCATATTGGGGTCACAGGCTGACAGAAGAGCAATTTCACACTTGACTGGTGAACTTGGCGATACTGTAAATGTGCAGTTTTCCTTGTGATGCACCAGTGCTCACGATCCAAACTCAAAGTAAAACTGAGACGCTGCAACTAAGCTAGCCAACCCCATGAGACTACTATTTCCAGAGCAAACAAACTTTACAGCTCAAACACAAAATAAATCACCTCCCAGCCTCCAAACATAAAGATACCTTACAAATAAAGCCACAAGTTTAATTTGAATTCAATATGAAGTCTTGTCTGAAGGCCCCAACACAACAAACCAACATCAAAGAACTAGGGGTGTCAAAAGCCGCCTGTGGTGTCGAATCGTGTCACCTGCATACTGGCCAAAATTCTGCATCTGCGTGAGAAAGGAAAAAAAAAAACTCTATACCAGCAGGTAACAGTAGTTTGGTTTTCTTGTGCACCTTTTTCTTAAGCTGACCAGCACTTTCAACATGCTAAATCAGCCAAAGAACCACCAATGGGGATCTGACTAGTTCCTACAGTGCAGATCAAACCGCAAAAACTAGAGTAACAAACGTTAAAAGATGCTGATTAAAAGAGTACAAAAAATTTTATGTGTGGGGAAACATCTTGTCACAAGATTCTTAGTAGCACGAAGAACAAAACTATTAATAAAAATGGGAATAATATAGTGAGAAAAAGAACATCCCCATCACTGAAGCGGTCAATGACTACAGTCTAGCACAAGGTCACTGTGTTATGTACAAAAAAAATCCCATTATAATCACTGAAGAGGTCTACACTGGGAAACAGTGATGTAATTAGTGGTCGACCGATATTGGTTTTTTGACAGCTGACGCCGATATCTTAGAGAGCAGGGTGGCCGATGGCCAAAAGAAAGCTGATATATCATTTTTATTTATTCTAAATAATATTTAAGAAATTTGAAATAATTTAAAAATGATAAATGTGTAAAATAAACATACTTATACATTAGATGACAACTACTTGATTCTGTAATCGTATTACAGTATTTTTCACAAATAAAGAAATATTTAGAAATATATATAAATAAAAAGGAAATAAACACTGTAACCAACAGGGCTCTCAGTAATCTAGGAAGTGTGTGTGCATTGGGATTATTTTTTTTTTCCAAATAATGTCAAGGTAACACTCATTTTACTTTGAAAACGCACACATTGAAAATGACATGAACATGACAGTGGGCAAATGGATAAAGTGCAGCATAGTTTGAAATCATGAGTTTAAAGTTTGTCGATCGTGGGCCTCCAGTGCAGCTGAACTCTCCTTCTGCCAGCATTCAATTGGCACAGACCAAACGTCACACAGAGAACACGCGATCATGCAGGATACAAATGCATACTTTATAAGCTCTCACAGCTGGATCCAACTAAGTCTGCAAGGTTTGTGAAATTAAATGTTTATTAGACATTCAAAGATCTGTTTAAATGATATAAATGCATATTTGCTGAATGCTGACGGTAAACGAGAAAGTATTATGTTATCCTTTGTTATTACTAATAATATAAAAGCAATCATTATAATACTTTTTGTATACCTTCTAATTCCTCCTTTTAACAATCTATCTGATTAGACAGACTTCTGTCCCTATTTAAAAAAACTGTTAAGCTCAGGTGCTGCCGTTCTCAGCGCTGTCAAAATAAGAGTCGTTCCTCAAACACATTGGCCGATGTTTGAAAAATGTCAAATATCGGCCGATATATCGGCCTTGGCATTATATCGGTCATCCACTAGATGTAATGTAACAAAGTAATAATACTTTGTTACAGTACTTAAGTATTTTTTTGGGAGAATCTGTACTGTGAGTTTTTATATTTCTGCCAACTTTCACTTTTACTCCACTACATTTCCTAATGCTAGATTGCAAGAAAGCAGGTTTGACGAATCAGAGGTCTGGTGCTTGCAAGTTAGACTCCTAAAAAAACAAGTGCTCCCACAGTCGAGGATGATTTCATTTTCCACTCAAATCGAGGCACAATAAAATCTGCTGCGATAATATAGTAAGTGTTGTTGTAACGAAAATTTGATATGGAGTTATAGCGTCTGGACCAATCAAACACACAATATATATTTTGTTAGCTATATTTAACAAATACTCTGTAACCCCCCTCAGTTAACAAGCCATATGAGGACCTATGGACCCTTCCCCTGAAATGCGTAACACCTCAGTTCCATGGCAACTAAGGCTGATATCACTGGTTTTATTGCTCAAAGGAATGCAAGCAGAGAAAACTCACACCTCATTCACCCTTAGGAAAGACACACAATGCCCAAAAATTGACTATTCTCTAATTAATTAATAGGAAAACCTTTCTTTGAATGAACACACATATCCTTCAGGTCATTGTGTATGTTGTCGTTATATTGTATAATCTTTATGCCGGCTTGTGATGGAACCACTCGTTTCCGTCATCTTACCTATATGTAATCCTTCCATGTTTAGTATCTATGAATTAGTCTTTTGATGATCTAAACGAGAGTGTATATTATATGTTGGCATATAGGCAATATATTAGTGTCTTGAGAATCTTTAGTAATTTCGATTCAAGTTCCATATGCAAATTACCATGCTTCCACACAAAGGGTCATAAACTCCCCAGTATTTCCAAACTCCCACTTGGGATTC